CCTCTGAGGTTTCCAGCTGGACCCTCGGGTCGGGGAAGCCGAACCCGGTGTTCGGTGGGGGACCTGGCAGGTAGCGGAATCTCTGTAAGCATCTGGGGACTGACTGAATCAGAGAATGAACAAATGATGGAGAGCTGGAGCCAGGGGCCTGAGGTCACATGTCCAGGACAGCCTGGGGGGGAGGGCCTGGGGGGGCGCCGCTCCACCAGTGGGGGCTGGGAGCCTCCCAGAGTGGGAGCTACCAGAAAAAAAGCAGACACCGGCGCCCGGAGCCCAGGCTGGGGGCCCCACTGGGCCGCGGGTGGAGATGGGCGTCCAAATCCGACATGTCAATACGGTGGAGACAGGGCGGGGGCGGCAGAGGAGGCGGAGGTGGGGGTCCAGTGAGGCGGTCCCTAGCCGGGTGGGGTGGGGGAGCGTTCCCAAGGGTGAGGCCACAGTGGGCCACGTTAGTGAGCCAGCTGCCATGGGAGCCAGTGCGACAGCCGGCTCAGCCTCACAGGACCGTCTTCCCTGGTGTGGCGCCTCAGTGCGTCTCATGCCGTGTTTTGGGGAAGGAAGGAGGGAAAGCGTTCCTGCCACTGCCGCTCCCGTGGGTCCAAGACGGTAATTCCGCCACCCCCTGGGTGCCAGGCGGGGGTCCCCTGTAGGTCCCACTGTGTCTCATGCCTCGCTGGCAGCAGCAGGCCCCCAGAGCAGGACATGGGGCTCTCAGGTGGCGGGAGAGCAGTTTGTTGTGTTGGTTTGGGGAGATGCAGGAGGCACCTGGGCGGGCTCTGGCCCTGCAGCTCCATGACGACATCTCCCCAGCACCGGTACGCTTGGCTGGTCCCCTCCTCCCTTTCCCGGGCTGGCCCCCGATCCCCGTGCTGGCCGCCTGCACAAATGGGCAGAGCCTGGCACGCAGGCCTGCTGCTCCTGGCCGAATCCCCTGCTGACCTCTGGGCTTGCTGCTGAGGACACCCAGACTGGGGCTCACAGGGGTGCGTAGGAGGCCGGAGGAGTCTCTCCGACTCCTCACCAGTTCCAAGGCAGGACTCACGTGGGTGGTCAGTGGGCAGAGGAGCCCTCACTGTCACCCAGATGGCACAGGCTGCTTTCATTAACGATGGCAGTGACAATAGCTGTCATGACAGCTGTCTTCTACCTCATGCCTATTGTATGCTTGCAAATGGCGGTTCTCCATAAATGGCCGCTCATAGCATCCGGTAGGGGATTAGAGGAGGGCCTCTTGGCTCTTGGCAGGCATATCCATGGTTCCCCTCCACTTCCCTGATGTCTGGGACACGGGCCCTTCCCCGAGTCCCTGCACTGAGCTGACCATGCCCTCGCCTGTGGGCTAGGATGGGGGCAATACCTGCCCTAGCTCCAGGCACGCAGGGCCCTCTTAGTTGCCCCTCACTGAGTTAACTCTGAAGCCATGGGTACCCAGGCAGGGGCAGCTGGCCCGGCAGCGTGCCAACAGTGGGAGTGTCTGGGCTGGGATCCCCTCAATCATGACCAGTGACTGGGCACTGAAGGCCCCAGGTCTGGGTTCAAATCCCAGCCCCACCCCCGTCTCCTGGTACCTGCTTGACCTTGGCTGTCGCAGGCCAGCCCTGGCCTGTCTCCTCACTCCAAAGATGAGGATGACAATGCTGCACGGGCAACCGTCCCTCTCTTTCTCCACCTGCCCAGCCGCCGGCCAGGAAGCTTTCATCCCAGAAGTGCTGGGGGGTTGGTTGCTTTGGTGGAGCTTACCTGAGGGTGAGGCCGGAAGGGCAGAATGGCCTTGCAGGTTGCCCAGGTGCCACTGCCTTCTGCAAGCAGGTGAGCCTGGGGTGGGCCCCGTGCTCTCTGAGCCCTTCTGCTTGTGGGTGCAGAGCAGCCTCGACTCTCCACGCAGCTGGCTGGGTGCGGGGCGCTGCCCGCCAACCTGTGGGTGCTGACTCTATGCATAGGGTGGATAGTCTAGGAGGCCCCACCCTGGCCACCTTCTCCCCTCCAGCGTGGCCAGCTGACTCTTGCTTCCGATGATTCCTATGAGCACTCGTCACATTAGGGTGACATGCTTGTCCCGTTTGCCTGGGACAGTGCTGGTTTTATCTCTGAAAGTCCCAGGTTCGGGAAAATCTCTCAGTCCCAGGCAAACTGGGAAGGTTGTTTGCCCTATTTTCAATTAAGCCAAAGCTCAAGGTGGTGGGTGAGGTGATGAGGGTCAGGATTGCCCTTAGAAATCCCCATAAATACTAACCTTGTGATGTTGGGATAAAACAATACAGAAATAACGTACACAAGGTACCCAGCCCAGCCCAGGGACCCCCCTCCCAACACACACGCCTCAGCCTGCCCTCTGCTTCCCACCCCGCGCCCAGGGCCCAGCACCCTCACAAAAAACAGCTGACAGCCGTCTTTATAAGTATAGTTTTATTGAAAATAAAAAAGTCATGGTGCTGTCTTCCTCCTAAGTAGCATACAGCGCACCCCCAATGCTGCCGGTACAGTTTCCTGCACAAAAGTCTCAGCACAAAGTCAACATTCACGGCTAGCTGGCGGACAAGACTGCATCGACTTGTGTATGTGCCCATTGAGAGAACTCCCAGGAGCAAGCGTCATCTCCCTGCACACACGGCACACGGTTAACAAGGCAGACGTCGGGGTATTTACACTCATGCATTTCACGTCTCACACTGCCTGGGCGGCTCGACTCACACTTGGTACAGATGCAAAGAGTACAGTAATTATACATATAGATGTCTCTTTAAATATATATAACTATATAGAATATATATGTTTATATTTTTACACCTATTTGTTTTTCTTCCAACACTTCCCTTAGAAGCTTCTCAGGAACACCTGAAACCTCTGGGAGATCCTACCTCTCACCGAGTTCCAAAGTTGGGCTCAACTATGAGAAGGCTGGAAGATATCTATCTGAGAGAATGAGGAGTGTGCACTTCATTCTCGACCTCTGAGCTCGGACCGGTCTGAGCATCGGTCTGTGTTCAGGGGCTGTGGATTCGCTTTAAGTCACAGGTCTAAGCTCAAATACTAGGCGGGCGCGGTCTTCAGTTGGCTTCAGTCTCAAACGCTAAAAACCTGGCGGGACTCTTGCTGCGCCACGAGTTGCATCTTCCGAGTATCTGGTTCTGGGACTGGGTCCCAGTGAATCCTTCTTAAAAACCGGTTTTCACTCACTAGGTGAGAAGAGGTTTTATAAGCCCAACTGAGGGGAAATTTATGCGCAAACTGGAGCCCGGGTGTCAGTGGCTCAGGGAAGGGGCACGGGCCCCCAAGCATGATGATGGCTCAGCTGTGGTTCCTTGCCAGGGAGCCTCACCTGGGGCTAATTGCAAAATCGGAGCCTCCTCAATTTAAACCAAGGTCGGGTTGGTGGGACCCAGCGGGTGAGCGCGAGCTGCCGGCACTCCATGGTCCCTTAGCCAGAAGTCTCCCCTCTGGCCAAAGTGGCTCCCTGATCACTCCTGAGCTTCCGACCAGCCAAGGCACAGGCGTTTTCTCACTGGTGAAGCCCACAGCGGTATGTGTTCAGGGCTGGGGGCCTGCCCAGGTGTCTGCTTGGGGTGCAGGCAGGGGGTTCTGCAGGCACCAGGAGGTTGCAGATTAGGATTAGGCTATTGCAAAATCTGGGCCTCCAGTGTGGGAGAGTGCCCTGGGGCTGGGTCTGCCTGGTTTCCTGCCCCTGCCCTGCCACTGACCCACATCCTCTGGCTTGTTTGTCACCTGGCTCTGCATCCCGAGAGCTCTGTAAAGTGCTCACCTGGCTGGGGGCAGGCGTGGCAATGGAGAAAGCCATCGGCAGCACTGTGCCAATGCCAAGGCGCACTGGGAAAGCCAGATCCAACTCCAAACCTCTAACAAGTCCTCAAACAGAAGGAAAAGAGGAAAGAAAAAAAATCCTTTGTGGGACGGTGTGCCCCAGGCCTGTCTGCAGCCTGTGCCCACTGACCCGGGGGCAGGACAATGACGCACAGACAGTTCCATGGGTACTAGGATATTTAAAGGTTCTGCCCAAATGGGGACTGGTTTTCATGTCTGTCAATCTTGCCTGGGGTTGAAAGCCTTACCTGCAGCCCAAACACCTGCCAGGGAAGGACAGGGTGGCTGAGGAGGCAGACCCGGTCCACCCAGCTAAATCCCTGCCTGGCTTCAGTGGAGCCATTCAGTGTGCCGGTTCCTTCTGAGCAAGCGTGTGGGGTGGGGGAGCCACAGGGTCAGGAGTGTCCTCCTAATCTGCCAGGGCATGCAAAATCACATGGCTGCTGTCGTCATGGACCCCTTGATGTGTCCCATGGGTCAGGTGGCCACCTGGGAGACAGGCCAGGTGGGTGGGGGTGGGGTGTTGGGTTTACTCAGCCTGGAGGGTTCCTCTCCTCCCATCCCTCATCCTCCAACCACTCTGGAGGGCTCAGCACTTTTATAGGATACAACCACGGGAAGAGACATTTAGATCACCTCCTTCTAGATGAGGCGGGGATTGGGTCAGGCAGACTCAGCGCCAGCCTAGTACAGGGTGCCCGCAGTGGGTTTGGCACAAGTGGTGGCCTCTGCCCACTTAAGGCAAGGCCTGGCTCACACGGGTGCATCAGTTCCTGTGGGGTCAGGTGTGGGAATGAGTCTGAGAACAGGGGCAGTGGCCTCTGCCCTTGCCTGGAGGCTCCTGGCTTAGGCTTTAGTGAGTCGTTTTGCCATGGAAGGCCAGATACTACCCCCCAGTGTAAATGTGCCTCTTTGTCTGCTTGGGAGGGGATTTTGCTGGCTGGGCTCGCAGCTCTCCATGGCAAGCAGTCAGGAGCTGAGGGCGCCCTGCATCAGTGGGAACAGAAGGGAGAAGGCAGGCCCTGAAGACTGAGGACAATCATGGATGGGGTGACAGACAGATGGATGGGAAGCACCTCCGAAAGGGGACGTCTGTTTCCTGGCTGAGCCGATGGCTTCTGTTGGGAACATCAACAGAGAAGCAGGTGAGCTTCCTGGGAGGAGGAGAGGGTTTCAGGAAGGGGAGTGGGCCCTGGATCACCTTTCTTTTTGGTAAAGGGCGAGGCCTCCCCGCCCCAGCAGACAAAGAGACCCCCCACCTTCATCAGTGCGCGTGATTTAGACAGCAGCTGGGGGCACTCGGCAGATCAAACACCAGACAAGGAGGAGGGTGAGAGGGTCTCGGGTGGTGACGCTGCCCCGGTGCCGCATGCAGGGTCAGCCAGGCTCAGCCTGGTCCGAGCTGCCCCTGCCCGGGCCGACCAGAGGCGAGCCTGGGAAGAGGATTGTTTCTCCTTTGGGAGGCTCGAGGCCTGCAAGGCAATGAAGTCCTGGACAAGCCCAGTGTCAGCTCGTGTCCACCTGCTTTCCCATGTCCGCTATGCCACCAAGGTGTCCCTCTGGCCAGCAGGTCCAAGGCTTGCAGACTCACACCACCGCGTTGTTCACATCCACCCCTTTGCTGCTCTGTGAAGAGCTCATGGGATACTCAGCAACGCTGGTGCCATTTTCGTCCTTTCTCAGTGGTTTCCTGGAAGGCGGGAGGAGGCAGGGAGGGAGAGGAGGGGGAGGCAGAGCATCGTTAGTTAACAGTGACTGTCGGGGCCGTGACCTCCCAGATAGCATCTGTGCTCCACGAGTCCCAGGAAGCCACCAGGCTCTGTTCTGGGTTAGCATCTTTGGGCTACTAGTCCCTGTGGGGTCAGTCAGAAGCTGGATGTGGCCTTAACCAGGATGCCCATTTAATTTGTCATGGAAACCAGGGCATAGCTGAGAGTGAAAATGAACTTGTAATAACAAGGCAGGGACAACAGGCATGAATCAGGACTGTACCGAACAAATGGGATGTATGGTCAGCCTCTGATTGAGCTTTTTGCTTATGAGCAGAGAGAGATGAAAATTTGGGAGTGCGAGACAGTTGGATTTTGCAATCTTGCCTCTGTGTGGTCAAAGGCAAATGGAAACTGTGATGAAGGGGATGGTGATGATGGTGGTGGTAGTGGTGACGGAGAAGATGGTGATGGTAGTGGTGATGGTGATGATGGTGGTGATGATAGCAACGGTAAGAGTAATGGTAGGATTGACAGTGGACTTGATAATGATGGTGGTGATGAGGAGAGTAATGGTAACGGTGGTGGCGATGGTTGGGTTGATGGTGGTGGAGGTGGCGATGGTGGTAATGACGGTGGTGGTGGTGGAGTGGTGATGATAGTGATGCTAATGGTGATGGTGTGACGATGGTGGTGGTGAATGTCCAAACTAAATTAGTTAGTACACGTCAGTGGTTCTTGAACACTTCACATTAAGCCATCTGAAGCTTATTCCAGAGGCCACGTGACCCCAAGAACCACTCCTCCTGTTCATACAGGGGATCAGGAGGGTTGGCAGGTGGCTTTGAGAAGGCGCTCGCTTACTTGCTGAGGTCCTAGAATCACAGTGCTACTTTTTGGCCTGGCTCAAATCCCACTCCCTCCCTCGAGTCAGGCAGGAGGGCTCAAGCCCCCAGACCGAGCGTCTATATCCTCCTGGTCTGGGCTGTACACTGTGTAGCCCAAGCCCAGGCAGCAACACTGCAGGCTCTTGGGTGGATCTGATCCCCATGGGCTGTAGCTCAAGGACCTCCCATGACCCCAGGGGTGCCGGGGCTGAGCTGAGTGCTTAGTTGAACATTTATGCCATTGTCAAGAGCCCAGGCATTGATTGCTTCTGCCTTCTCAAGTGTCCCCAGAGCCTCCCCAAAGCCATCGTGAGAAGGGCTGGTACTTGGTGACCAGTTTGATGGCTATGGGATAAAGCCCTGACTGAGTTAGTTGAGGGGAGGGAGGGCTGTGAGTGGTTGGCAGTACTTTCTCGGGTGGGATTGCCAGGCCTGCTCAGAGACCACACCCTGAGCTCAAGCCTATGGACCAACTGTTCCCTTCAGTCTTGCAGCAGAAGTAGCTCACAAAACACATGAAGAAACCCAAGGCACTCACTCTGGGGGTCAAGCCCAGTCACTGTGGCTTCTTCTAGAAATGCAAGATGCAAACCCACACTTCCTCCCATGGTGTGTTGTGCTTTGTGCAAAGTGCTCTTGGTCGCACAGATTTCCTTGTCTCTTCACATAGTGGTCCCCTGAAGAGCTAGGCCTGGATTAGGAGATTCATTTCATGGGGAAACTGAGACTTAGAGCAGGCTCTGACTTGCGCAAGGATGTCCAGATGGTTTGTGGTGGGGCCGGGACCACCACCCATTACTGCCAAGTCCTGGCCAGACATCTTCCCGGGAAATCATCACGGGCTCTGGGGGCCGGTCGGCTTGGGCAAGCCTTCCTCCACCCTGCCCCCCGAGATTCCCAGAGGTTGTGCAGGGTCCTCCAGGAAGCCTGTCTGGTTTGGCTTTAACTCAGCACGCCCCATGTTATGTACCCGACAAGCCCACTTATGTAGGTGCTCAGAGATGCTTTCTGGAACCTTGTTTGTGACGGGCTCTGTGGGAAATGATGGACTCTGCAGCCAAGCTCTGCCCCTGGGCCTCTTCCTCCCTCTGTCCCCTTCTTCCCCCTTTCTGTCCTGCTCGCCCCCTTCCAGGGAGGCTTGAGCAGCTCTGACGCTGCTGGGTGGGCTTGCTGCCCCACTTCGAATTTGCACGGCCTGGGCAGTCGGGGGGTGGTATTTTCTCACAGTGAGGTCCTGTGTTGCCCCACGAGGCCCCTGAAGACTTCAGAGGGATAAATTTAGCATCAATATATGGGGCGGGGGGACGATGGACATCAGCATCAGGATTCCGGAAAATATTAACAGGCAAAAAACTCTGGGCCCAAGGCCACACTGCATTTTTTTCTGAATAAACATTAAATCTCAGGCTTAGGGCTAAAAAATTGACTGCAACAGGTCCAGGTCGCAGGAGATGCAGCTTAAGGGACTCCAGGGTGGATAATGCTGAAATGAGGAGGGGGCGTCGAGCTCCCATAGAAACGGCCGAGCCTGGAGGGTGCAGCTTCCACCCCTCTTAGGGTGAGGAAGGAATTAGCAGGACACCTTCCGGCTGGAGAAGAGAAGAGATCGGAAGCCAGGATGCCGGCTGTGAGACCCCCTTTTACTCTGGGGGGAGGGGTCCCTGGGGGAAGAGGTGGCCAAAGAGGGCTGGGCAGGAGCAAGCCTGGCCGGAGGGCGAGGCGGGCAGTGCCTGCTCAGCTGCTTAGCAGCTCCTAGACAGGAAGGGAGGCAGGGGCGGGGCAGGGGTCCTCCCAGCAGAGAAGGCAGCTTTGGCCTGCACGGCCCCTGATGGGAACATTCCGCAGCCTGCACATGGCGACGGGACGGGGTGGCACCTGAGGGCTCTCCTGAGAAGAGGACTTGGTCTGTCCCACCACCAGAGCTGAGTCCCCAGCCACTCCGCTCCCAGGGCTGCTGCTGAATCCACTCCCGAAGCCGTTCTGAGACCCCTTGGAGCCCAGCGGAAGCCGGATTTTCCCCAGAGTGGAGGGTGGCGCGGCACTGCAGGGGGACACTGCGCAAGTGCTAAGAGGCAGATTATCACGGCTCAGTAAACTCCTGCTCTGCCACTTTCTGGCCGTGTCACCTCAGGCAAGCCACATAACCTCTCTATGCCTCAGTTTCCTCGTCTATAAAATGAGCACGGTCGTGGTGTCCATTTCATAGGCTTGTTGGAAGGATTAAATATGTTAATGCAAGTCAAGCACTCAGACAAGCGTCTGGCATACAGTAAGTGCTCCATAAGTGTTTGTTAGAGCTCAAGACTGCTGGCGGAAGGGTGTCGGCGTGGAGCTGCTCCCATGGCTGGCGGTAGCCAGGGTTCTCCAGTGCGCACAGATTTCCTACCTAACCCAGGCCTGTGAGGCTCCGGCAGTGCTAGAGAGGTGCTAGGACCAGCCTGGCTCTGTGGCTCTGTGGGCCGCCCAGGGCTGGTTCCAATGAACCAAGGAGAGGCATTTCCACCCAGGTCCAGGCGGAGATGGCTTCAGAGGGCTCCCTAAATGGCATGGTTCCTAGAAGCCAAGAGAACAGTCAGTGAGTTTTCCTCGGCCGTGTCCAGGCTGCTGCCTGCAGGAGGGTGGCCTCTCCCACCTTGAACCCTCTTCTCCCTGACCTGGGTCTGCAGGCAGCAGGCACCCCACATTCTCTGCTCGGAGTGCTGTGATGACAGCTCCGGCCACATATGCCAGCAGTCACGACGGGCCGCTGCAGAAACCGTGGCTCCACCAGCACCTCTGCCTGGGCAGGGAGGGCCAGGACCCAGCCACCCCTGGTGGGCCTTGCTGACAATGATGTGACAGCTTCCGCCCTCCGGCTGCTGCTCTGCTGGGGAAGCCAGAGGCTAAGAACAGCTCTGAGGAGCCTGGGAAGGGAGGGCTGCCAGCTCTCTTCCTGCGGCGTGCACCCCCCAGGTGGTTTGTTTTCAATCAAGTGGAGGTTGAAGGTCCCAGGCTCGCCTCTTCTGAAGGCATTCACCCTCCCTGCCGCCCACGCCCCTCCCACGCACGCACATACATATCACGCGCATGTATGCACATATACGTGTATACACACACGTACACCCATCCATCCATACACACAACACACATGCACGCGTATACACATACACACATGCATGTACATAATACATACATATATATGCACATCCATACACACATATGTACATATACATCCAAACACAATATGCACATGCACACACATGCAGAGCTCCACAATGAGACTGGACTGCACACTTCCCTAAACCTGGGTCAAGAAGCCAGGAGCCTCTCTGAGCCCCCAAGGGTGCGACTGTGAGAGGTGGCAGCCCCACTTCCAGCCCCCAACGTCCAGGCGATGGCAAAACAGGTGTGTGACGGGTGATCACCCTCGTGTGTCAAAGAAGCCAACCATTTTGACCGTGTCCCTGGGCTCATGTAGCCACCTCTGCTGAGCAGTCTCGGGGCACCTGGGAGCTGCGTGCCAGGGAGGGCCCTCTCACAGACTCGCGACTCTCCCCCTCTCCTAGAGCACCTCTCTGAAGCTGGGAATTTGTTCCAGGGCAAAGCGCTTCCTGGCCTGGATACTGAAGAAAGGACTTCGGGGTCACATGAGAGTCCTGGACAGGGGACCTCCAAGCTAGCTCAGGCCTCAGTGACTGTCCTTCAAGGCCCTGAGATGCCAGAATGGCGCTGGGGGTGGAGATTCCTGCTGGCTGTGTCGGCAGAGGCAGCCCAGACGGTGCCTGCCTCCCTGAGGCTCCAGGAGCTATGCCTCCCTGCCAGCCTCCTCTAGAGCAGGGGGTGGGTGTCAGGGAACACCTCTGGGTGGAGGTGACTTTAAGTTGAAGTCTGGTGGGTGTACCAGGCAGCAGAACAGGTGGGGACAGGCAGCCACAAAATGTGGGCATGTGCTTGGATCCCAGAACCAGGTCTCGAAACCTCCTTTCACCTGGTTTTACAGTCACAAAAGGCTTTCGCTGGCCATGGGAATACCCAGAGCCATCTGTTCTTCTTAGAGGCCAGTTTCCAGGCGAGACCTGGGACAGTCCAGGAGGCCTGTCCTGAACTCCGGGGTG